TTCTGTTTGTTGAATTCTTGTTTCAAATATTCTCCCATTCAGTAACTCATAGGAGCTGCATCTTGTGACATGGATATTCATTTTTGACTTATTCAAAAAAAAGCGATAAATCTAATTCGAAATACAACTCGAAGCATTGTTTTGATGAAAAAATTCATTTCTATTGTTTCGAAACAAACGAGAAACATTCTGTGATAAAAATAGTTTCAAAATGTTTTCAATGTAATAATCTGAATCAATTGTGACATCAGACTAAACCAAACGAAGAGATGTCTCGCGATAAAATAAATCTTGTTGAATCATCATCTTTTCATTGTCTGATTTGGTTCTTTTCTATGTAACAAACTTTCTTCTTCCCTTCAGTGTAGTCGAAATAGTGCAAGAAAATATTTGAGAATCGAACGTTGACAACGAGAATTTTAGACATCAATTATTTGAAGTACTTTTAAGACATAGGTTGTTTTCGAGAAAATTTAATTTTTTTCAATATAATTACGTTGACGGTCGATCTTTCGTTTACTATTAGACACAGTTTTTTAGATATACTGATTCCATCGTGTTTCAAAATTTTAGCTATTTGTGACTGGGAGTATTTCTAGTGCAATAAAACCAACATACATTTCTCGTGAACATTAGTGTTCTTTTCCGATGCATCGCTTTGAACAGAAAACAAGCAAACAAAGAGATAGACAACGAACACCCTTACCACATAACATGATCATGCAATGTTTTCCCTTTTTCTGTCAAGCGAATATGACATTCAAAACGTAGTTAAGATAGGTGAATTATGTTGTACAAATCATATGAAACATTATTATGAAATAAACTGAAATCAATCCATTTCTAGCTCATTATTTCGTACGAATTTAGTCTACGATTGTATTTTAATAAGAACAATATAAGTAGATATTGCCTTCAATATAATTATTGTCTAGTATGATGTAATTGGATTTTCTATCTTACGTTGACGTTTACTAAAAATGATTTTTCGATCAAAAAACAAAAACTAATAGAACAGATTATCTTTACATTGTCACGATCAAAGCATCTAATAATATTAGAAGAGTAGACAACTGTCAGACTTGTTTTAGATTAATAAAAGAATAAAAGCGTATGTTAACTATTCTTACATAGCACGAAGTAAAAACATATTTATTACCGACATTGTGCGACATCGTATTCTAGTAAGCCTCGACTTCAAAAGAAAGGTTAATAACAAAAAAATGAATTGGTCTATCAAAGAAATATAAATGAAGCGTAAAGCCATACCTCGATTACTTTATATTCGAAAACCTACTTGTTTCTTGTTTTTCATTGTACTAGTTTTATATTAAGATTGTCATTATCTATCAGCAATGGCAGATGAATTAGCTAATCGTATTACAAATGAATTGAAAGATCGTCTACCTGATGTAACTAATAAAAGTGTTCTGGCTATAATCAATGGAGTAGAACAGTAATTATATTATATCTATTTATTTTTTTGTTCGCTATTTTCTTTATTTAGTCCAACATTTTATACAAAACTATTATCAACTATTGAACAATTAATTCTATTCACAGAATCATCTGATATTTATAAACAATTAGATGAACAATTAGAAAATTTTCAAAAAAAGCCAATATTAAATTGTGCTAAATTTAATAATGCTGAATTACAAAATAATTTGTAAGACGATTTTAAAAATAAATTTAAGTGAATTTTTTTTTCCTTAGATTTGATGTTATTCTTCTTATTAAGTCATTTAACCGATTAAGTGTCGATGAAAAACAAAAAATGTTAAAGAATTTTTTAAAAACACTTAAAGTTAATGGTCAAGTTTTTGTTTATGAAAGTGAATGGTCAAAAGATAAAGGTACATAGATAAAAACAATTTTATTCTTCTTAAGTAAAATTTTATTATTTCATTTTGTTAAGAAAATCATTTAAGTAATCCAGTCGATCTTATTCATTATTTTAATTCTGCTATAATAACTGAGAATGAAAAATTTGGTTTTGAATTTGTTTCTGCACGACCATTACGTACTTATGTTGAAGTAGATATAAATCAATCTATTATTATTCTTTTAATGGTATTAACATATTTTCTAGAGCAAACAAGAATCATTTCATGTATGTTATGTTTTCAAAAAAACTACTAAACAAGACAATCATTCAACATTACAAGATTTTCTTGATCAACAACAATATTCTACACGCGGTGTTTTATCTTATGAAAGAATTTTTGGAGCTGGTTTTATATCAACTGGTGGTCTAGATACAACAAAGGTTTGTTTATTGTTGAATAAAAAATAAGAATGAAAATTATCAAATGGAATAGATATTAGAGATGATTAAAGATCATCATGATATGTAATACACGAAGAGTTAAAAAGCTTTCTCCGGAATCGATCATAATTTATAGGAAAATAAAATCATTGATATTCTCTTTGGTAATCTCTATCAATATTTGTTTCACGATCAAATGATGATGGATTATACCGATATAGTTCGAAGAATATCCACAATTGTAATTCTCATAGGAACGAAATAAATAATCGATAATATCAAATCATGAACAATTTAATATTCGTTCTTTAGTTAGAGAAACATTTGTATTTTTTTTTAGGAATTTGTTGAATCACTTAATCTTAAAAGTGATCAAGTCGTTTTGGATGTTGGTTGTGGTATTGGTGGAGGTGATATTTATATAGCTAAGGTACAGGTTTACAAATTGATTAAAAACTTATTGTTTTGTTTTTCAAAAAGACATATGGATGTTCAGTAATTGGTGTTGATTTATCTACTAATATGGTTAGTATTGCCTATGAACGATTAATGGATATGTCAGCTAATAAACTTAAGGTAAAATTTGTTATTTGTTTGTATTATTAAAATATTTAACATATATTACTTTAGGTATCATTTGAAATTGGTGATGTACTACATCATGAATTTAAAGCAAATTCATTTGACGCTGTCTATAGTCGTGATACAATTTTACATATTACTGATAAGATGAGTCTATTTTCTCGTCTTTATGTAAGGTTAATTTTATAGAAAAATATTTTTCGTACTTTTCTTTTTATTGAATAGAGTTGGCTTAAACCGGGTGGTCAATTATTTATCTCTGATTATTCGTGTGCACCAAGACATGAATGGTCAAAAGAATTTGAAGAATATGTCAATCAAAGACGATATGCGCTTTTAACTGTATCAGAATATGGCAAAGTAAAAATAAATAAATATATAATCTATTTGTTATTATTTTATTGATATTAGCTCTTGGAAAGTGTTGGCTTTAAAAATGTTGATGCTCAAGATGCCACAGAAAAATTTGTTGAATGTCTTAAAATGGAACTTACACGAATTGAATCAACTAAAGATGATTTTATTCGAGTATGTCAATTATATTTTTTTCTGTTGTTTTATTCACCAATTGAAATATTTAATTTGTTTTTTAAAGGAATTTTCAAGTGATGATTATGATCATTTAATTGAAGGTTGGCATAAAAAACTTGAACGATGTGCTAAAGGTGATCAACGATGGGGCATCTTTCGAGCAAGAAAATAAAAAAAAACATTGAACGAGCAATAATCAAATGATGGGATACCAGCATAGTAAAATTTGTAGGGAAAAACGTATTATTTTTTAAAATTAATTGCTCGTAAAAAAAAATAAAATGAAATACAAGATTAGCATTAATATTTCCGGATTGCCTGACTATGAATGTATCAGATTTTCAGTGCAATATGACTACATAAAGCTTGAAGGACATGAGAATGTAATCATTTCTTTGTCTTCGATTTGCATTCTTTATGGTTTTTTTCAAACATTTTCGTAACGGAAAAATGTGACATATGGGTATTATCTTCTTATCGATAAGTACGTGTTAAGCACAATGACAATGAAGAAAATACGTGAGATAATACTACTCTATTATCAATGAACTTTGATAGATGACTAGGTAAATGAGGCCTAGAAAACGGGTCAATAGGGTGCAATATTCTATTTGAATATATAATCATCATTTAGAGAGATAAAATACTTCGATCAATTTTATCGAAGGTAAGCTAATCTTAACAAATATTTAAAGAAAAGAAATAAACTCAATATATTTGTGCAATGTGATCTCAAAAAGTTAATGTTATGTTTCTATCTGAGAATGTAATTGTTAAAGAATAATCGACATGATATATAGAATAAGAATAATGTTTTCCAATTGTTTTGTACAACGTATCAGTAAGATTTTAAAATGTATCTGTATCTGAACGAGCGACAGTTGATTTAGAAATCTGTCTTTCAAATTGAATGTATTGCACCAATAAAAAATATAATATAAATCTCGAAATTATTAGTATCTGGTTTTCTCTATAAGAAGTAATCTCTTTTTAACTCTTGTACTTGGTAAACATAACAATTGTTTGTCATTACTTCAGACAATATAAGATATGATTTGTAATGATCATACTGACTGACATAGAAAAGAAATATATTACAAACAAATTGAATCTTTCCAAATGATTTAGCAATATTTGATAGCCTCTCATAAATGTAAAATAGTCTTCGTTTTTGAATAACATTAATTAAAATTCACAAATGGTTCAGTGAACAATGAACATCATCTCCGTTTATGTTAATTTTTTTCAAAAAAAAAAAAAAATTAAATCGAACTAAACTTTAATCAATATTCACAAGTTAGACATTTATTCTGAAAAGATTTTCTATTATTTGAAAAGAAGTCAAATCATTCTTTTGTAAAAGTTCAATTGAGAACATATTATTTATACAAATAATAAAACGAAAGTATATGTTACGTATAAATTGATGACATATATTGCTTTGTTCAATATGTGTATCGATCAAAAAGAAAAAGAAGAGAAAAAAAGAAAGTCAAGTGTACTTCTTTCATTTTTTATTGACTTGAACAACGGTCAGTATTTTTATTTCATTCAGTGTATTCTTATTCTTATGTTATTCAATAAATTCTATTAACAACATGCAATATTCATATTAACTATGTTTTTCATTCTTATAACATACATTCTTTATCTTATCCGATTTTCCTTCGCTGATCAATGTCCATCATTTAAGTATTGTACATGTTCATCAGATAAAACAATAATAGAATGTACAAATCGTCAATTAACTAATGAACTATTATTAAATCTTACTAATCAATTACCTAAATCAACAATTCTTTTAAATCTTTCATCAAATTCTTTAACATCAATTAAATCTTTATCAAATTTAAATTCACTTCAAGTACTAGATTTATCATTTAATAAAATTCAATATTTACCATCAAATATCTTTTCTATATTTCCTCAATTAATTTCATTAAATCTTCAAAATAATTCATTGAAAACAATTCCAAAAAGTTTTACAAACATTTCAAATATAAATCTTAATCTAGTAGATAATCGATTTCATTGTACATGCCAATTTAAATTATTTAAAAAAACTAATTTTTCTAAAAGTATTATTTGTCAAAATAATAAAGAATTTAATGAAAATGATTTTTGTTATATAAAAAATTTTCTTCAAATTAGTCCTCAACAATCACAAATCGTCTATGAAAATGAACAATTTATATTAAATTGTTCATCAGATTTACAACGTTATTGGACATTAAACAAAAAATTTTATCCATCGACTATTACAAAACTGTCATATTCAACAATAATTATTCATCATTTACAAACGAATCATTCAGGATTATGGACATGTTATAGTTTAAATTTGAATCATTCAATATGGCTAACTGTGTTAAAAAGTTCATCAAATTCTTTTTGTCAATCAATACAAATGAATACATCAAAAGGTTATTTTTATTGGCCACGGACATTAAGTAATAAAAAAATTGCTATATATTGTCCTTATGGTTCAGCAGCATGGTTAAGACATTCAAATGAATATGCTCGAGCATGGTATACTTGTTCATCTAAAGGACAATGGATTAATTTTGATATAACACAATGTGCATTTCAAACAAATATATCACGAATATTTGATGATTTATCATTAAATGAAACAAATTTATTATCAAGTTTAGTTAAATATCTATCAGAAATAGATCAAAATTATTTACAATTAAATGATATTATTTTATTAATTGATTTAATTGATGAACAAAAAGATAAATATCAAAATCAAGATAAAATTATTTTAATTTATCATTTAACAGATTTTATTTTACAAATTAAAATGGATTTTATTTTTTCAAATGAATATCAAATTGCAATAAAAAAGTTAGAAAATAGTTTTTTTTTTGTAATTTTTTCTTTCAATAACTTATTTTTATTATTTAGATTAAGATTAATAATCGAACATTTATTAGATTTGACTAATCAATCTTGGTTATATATAGGAAAAGAATTAGCGGCTATGACAGTACAATCATCATTATCATCAACATTATGTTTTGTACCTAATCGATCATTGCTAACAATTATTTGTGGCATCGATAATCAATTCCATAAGGTTTGATAAAACATGTGAATTTGCTTATAGATCATTAGGTAGTCGGAACATTGTTAGTACACTCTCTGTATTTCCACCAATTTGAGTCGAATATGAGTCGCTCATATTCGAATATGTTCTGACTATAGCGACGATATGTAAATATATTCTAACAACATTAGCTTCAGTTCTCATATATATTCTATATAAATATTATTTCGTAATTATTGACAAAAACCCACTGTATTTTCGCCAATATACCGTCGAGCATGCCTCATTAGGGACGAGATTATTTGAGAAATTCTGGAATCCTAAATCACTTTCTTTTTCAGTCTTCATTAGTAACAATTCAATTTTTATCTCATTTGAATGAATCAAGTCAATATGCATTATTTCGTATTATTATTTATCGTCAATCGACATTATTCACGTCGAATGTGATAGCAAAGAATAATAATCCAGTTATTCATATACGACCAGGTAAGGATATTAGAATATTCTGTTCAATTAAGACCATAACATATGTAGAGATGTATGATACGAAGATGTTTTTTTGGTTCCGATTCCTATCCAGAGAAAATTATTCCATAATTTACTGGTATAATATCCAAAAAAAAAAATTTTTAAATATTCTATTTTTGATTTATGTAGTTTACTTCGTTAGAAATGTTTATTTTTCATTCACATCATTTTAAGAATAAAATGATTATTCTCTTTGATTAATTTAATCCGTTAGTCAATTTCCATACTAAAGGAGAAACATTTCTAGATGATAAAAAACTTTTGAGTTTAAAAACTATTCACAATTAGAGAAAATATTGATTAGAAAGAAAAACCATGAGAATATGGCGTAAGCTAGAATTCAACTGAGACACTAACTTTTTACTATGATGTTCCTCCAGCAATCTTCTTCCTTGATAAAGTCAAACTTTAAAATTTTGACCTAAAACTGTTCGTATCAAAGCTTCCATTTGATTAAATTGCTTATAAATATTCAAAATTTTCGGATCAATTACCTCCTTTGTAATATCGGCATATTAGCATAAAAAGACGCTTAAAATAAGTATTTTATTATAAATGAATACTGAGGAAAAGTCATGTCTTTGAGATAATTTGTTCAAAACTTCTGGAATTTGATACTCAAACTAATCTAATTGAGACCATGATGTGAATTCATAGGTATCCACAGTTCGAGTTTCATTAAAAATCACTTTAAAATAACTGAGATATTACCTTCTAATTAATTATGTATATTGAAAAGCAAATGCTAACTTCTAGTAACATGAGTGCTGTCCTCGATAGATGTGATCAATTCTTTGGAATATTCTAATAGAAAGTTTTCATGATACGATAACTCTCTTCTGAAATTTTTAAAACTGCAGAACTGAATAGATTCGAGCTAATAATATGAGATGAGTTCAATATCTCCGAGTGTGCTAATTAGTTAGATCTTGCCTATATATCATGAGCTTTAGTGATACTAATGTAGATATATGGAACTGCTTTTAGTGCTAGGAAACAGCAGTAAAATAGTTTATCGAATAGCAAAAGAACAAAAAAAAAACAAACTTTTTTTAGTACATTTTTTCAGCTAAATATGTTGTTTAAAAGGTAAAGAATATGTATGAACAGTAGTAACTCCAATACATGTGAACCGATGGATTAGTATCACTTCATGGAGGGTGACTACTTTTGTCTAGGATTGTATTTGAATTCTAAAACTGTTTATCATCGGAGAAGGCTTTTTTCCTATATATTCATTTTCTTTTATTTGATCAATATGTAGTGTTAAACAATAATTTATCTACGATTAAATTAACATTTTACGGTCAATCAGATCAAGCATCAATTGGGATTTGGTATTCAAATCAATCATCATGGCAAATAAACTCATCTGTTTGTAAAATAAATGAACATGTATGTATATATACTTAATTTATGATTTTTAATATAGAAAAATCAATTTTTATTTTGAGAATTCTAATTTTATTTCAACTAATTGTATTTTAATCAATAATGAGTCTTTATCAATAACATATCTTAATCAAAAAACTTTGTTTTTCTATACAAATTATTCACAATTGCCTATTTATACTTCGTCATTGATTGCATCAATTTGTTTCTTTATTTCTATTCTTGTCTATATTTGTTTTTATAAGTAAATATATAAAATAATTTTCTTTTGTGAAAAAAAAAATATTCAATTTAATTTTTTACTAGACTTTATCAAATACCAAGATGTTTTTTTCATTGTTTAATTAATTATTGGCTTAGTCTGTGTATTTTATTACTATTATTTGCATTTGGAATACAACGAAATCAATATAGATATTTATGTCAATTTATTGCTATTAGCCTTCATTATCTTTGTTTAACAACTGTACTTTGGTTAACATTATTAACTTAGTAAGAATAATTTTATTATTGATTGATATAAAAAAAAAACAGTTTTCTCTTCAGTTCGATTTGGAGAAAACTATCTGTTATATCAACAAATGAAGGTTGTCCTCGAAAACTTTCAATAATAATTAATGATGATTTAACAAAATCAGAATTGAAACCTAAACCTGTTATTCAATTCTATTTTTTAGCTTATGGAATAGCATTAATCATTTGTTGTATTAATGTTGCTATATCACATGAGCAATATATGGTAAACAAAATGTAAGTAATTATGTGAATATTTCAATGAAAATGAACTGAATATATCGAAATATAACATCGAATGTCAATGCAAGGAGACTAGTCACCTGTGTGATCTGGGCCTTTATAGACTACCTCACAAGGGCAAAACTCATTCCTGTATTTATTTCCAATCAAAAACCTATATAAATTCAGATTGGAAAGGTCCTCATATTTTTCTTCTGATCATTTGATCAAACTTCAATGTTTTGACTTAACAGAAAGTATCAGAAAAGTGTCCGCTTGATTGTGCGAGTGTTACTTGATTTCGATTTCGTGAAATGAAAAATAGTAAAACTGTCATTTCATGTAATATAATTTCGTTATATATTTTCTAAGGATTAGAAATTTTCTTTCTTTTTAAAGATTTTTGTTTTCATTTAGATGTTTCTTCAATGATTTTTATTCGATTCTAATATTAATTATATCAATGTTTATATGTATTATTTTTTCACTTTTTTTTCTTTTATCTACTCGTAATCATATAAAGCGTTTAATAAACGAAACAAAATATTTAGATGAATTATCCGATGTATCGGAAATTAAGTCACAAAATATTTTATTATTAAAATTAAATGAAATTTTACCAATTTTAATTCCATTTAATCAAAATAATGAACAAATTTCATTAAATATAAATTATCAAAATGAATCAATAAATCAATTATTCTCATTATTATTTCAATTAATTCTTCTTATATTTCTATTTCTATCATGTTTAACTATTTATCTACAACCACTAAATTTATTTAAACTACGCTTTGAACATATTATTTATAGTCATTTATATGGTTTTTTTGTTTTAGTTCTTTCATTTTATATAATTTCATTTTATGTTTTATTTCGTTCTGATTTAATAAGACATTATGGTCTTAGTAGAAAAAGAATTGATCATTTATCTAAACAATCATGTAGTGAACCAGCATTATCATTCATAAATTCAAAACAAAATTATCAATCTGATATTCCTTCATTTACAGAACGAATTTCTTTATTTCCATCATCGTATTTCTATGATGTTTCAAATATACATATTCCTGAATTACTAGATAATACTGAAAGACCATCAATAAACGATAATCATATGGATAATTCAAAACTTCACACAAAGATTACATCGGATTATTGTGTTTGTCATTGTCACAGACTGAAACCTTATGAAATAAGTTCATCACAAAATACTGTACATGATACATTACCATCATCATCATTATTAGATATAATTGTGCAAGAGTAAGTATGAGCATTTGTTGCTAATGAGAAAGGATAAAACTGATTCATAATCTCTTTTTCATTGTTAGTGGAAGAAAATTTTTAGATGATTACAATTTAAATATTTTGTTATATATAGCTTGAAACATAAAAGAAACATTGAACAAAAGTTAAGATTTAGAGACATTAAGATTAATTTTGAAACGAAAATGACTTTTAGCTATCGCTGAGTCTATTACGAATTGAAAAAGAATTCACTGATTTCAACAAGATTTTAAGCTTTATTTGACGTCTAGATTTGTAAATATCTGTATCAAATAACATAGATTAATAGGTCATGTCCAAGATTAGAGGAATGCAATTGTGTAAGATTTTCTTTATTTGTTATATTTATCTGAGTATTGTTCATGTTACTTGGTTATCTATCTCTCAATGATTATGAAGTTTGTCTGCGCATTCAGGACTCTATTCTGAAACAATAGTCTAATGTTAATACATATTCGAAAAGTTATTTTTACTGTTTTCAAGTATCCACTTTGAAGTAAAATGCGCAAAAATCGGTCCAAGATTTATAAATTTAGCAAAGATGAATATTTACTTCAAATTCTGAAAAAAAAAGGTGTCGAATTCATTTTTTTAGAACTACTGATACACACTCATTGCAACATAATTCATTCAATGAACAAACATTACAAAGATCAATTAGTGGTTTACTAGAATTTCATGCAAGACAAACTGAAAATACTCATGTAAAAATTGATTATGATAAAAAGAATTATAAAATTTTCGTTTTCTATACATTTTAGTTGCACTCATCTTCTAATACGTTATCACGATTACGGACATATCCAGCTCAAGCAATTATTCGTCTTTTACCCATTATTCGCCTCTCTTCACGAAATATAAAGAAAAACCTTTCGAAGTCTACAAATATTATTCAATTAAATGATCATAGAAATCCATCGATCAAACTGAAAAATATTAGTAAGAATACTCGAAATTCGTATTCTCTAAAGTCATCATCATCCACTGAAAACGATGATTCTATATATGTTTCTTTGAATAAAACTGATCGTTTAATTCAACAAAAATCATCATCATATGAAAAATTATCAATTTGGAAAAAATCTATTAATGGCCATAAACAACTTGTATACATTGATCAAGATGATGAACATAGTGTTTCACTTATATCATCTTATTATGATTCAAAAACATCATCAAGTACTATATCAAACAAAAAAGAGTATAAACAAACATTGTCGTCTTCATCAAATATTTCAGACCATTCCGATTATGATGCTATTCATACAAATAAAATAAAATTGCGTGAAAGTAGTGTATAAATAATCTTTTGTTTTTCCTTTGATACTTCGTACTATTATCAACGATTGTAATCAATGGTTTCTAACAATTAGTTTTCGTTTAGATAACACATTCAGTTTGTAATATTATCTCCATGATATATATGTTTTTTTAACAATAAAAGTTTGCCGTTATGTCAATGAAATAAACTGATCTATTATAGGCTTTTATTATCATTTTTTTAATCATTTTTTTTATCAATATTTAATGTGCTACGAAAAGGAAGATGATTTTAAATTCTTCGATTCAACTGAACTTTTTAATGAATCTTCTATTTTATTTGTCAAGGAATATTTGCAACAATATCAATCAATTGTTCGATTGAATCTCATTTTGAATTTCAACAAACATTGGTACTAATTAAGATCTCTGAAGATATGACAGTGAAGTCCTAGTTGTTTCTTTTTTTGAATAATAATGAAATTTTCTCAGAAAATATCCTATTACAAGGCTGAAATTTTTCGATCAACTTCACCTTTAGAAAGCTCTGCTTGTATCATTCATATATCTGAATATTATGTAAAAACAAACGAGAATTGAAGCTCTGAAAAACTCGTAACATTGAATAGCGAAGCTAATTGAATGATTTTATTGGAAAAACTACTGGAAAATGAAAAACACATTATATGGGATTGAATTTTAATTACCAAGCACAATATGATGCGAAAATAATAGAATGAACAAAGCGTGGGTGTGTCAGTGTCGTTGTGGCTAGGGTGTGAAGAAGAATCATTCACTAGCAGAGCCATGTCACATATCTACACGAGCACCTACACTATCAGCACAATCCCACACCTACACCTTTCGAGAAGTAATTATTATATACCAATGAATATGAGAAAAAAATTTACGAAGAAATCATTTTTCAATTACAGTTAAATGCAGCCGTCGTGATCCTTTACACCACTCCTGCCTCGCTTTTGTATGCATTCGGTCCAAATCTCTGATGTAAATCTATGTCCACTTCACTAACTGATTGAGAAATAGTACATAGAAACTTTCTCTTTGTAAAATTAGTCAGTATCAGCAATAAATTAATGAATTTGTATTGCATTGCATAAATTAAAGTTTAAAGAAAAACTGTTTTCAACTGTATTAACGTAATTTATGTTGCTGTTATCATATCAGAAAATTCTGATGAAATAATTCTTGTTAGTACACTTATTATTAAAATATTAATATTGTCATTTCTTTTCATGTATACATCGCAAAACATTAATTTTGAACATGAAGAAAACCATTGAAGTTTTACTTTTATGAAATACAAAAATAACAAACTTGTTATAGCTGAGTAGTGTTCAGAATCTTGAAGACTTATCAAATATTGTAAATTGCTTTGTTCTTAATTATATTTTTTTTTTTGTTACTTTCAAAGTGTCGTTTTCTGTGTATGTTGATCTCTCTTGCAAAAAAAAAATGAAAGACTTCCATGTATGTGTAGCAACAATTTTTACTGCCTATGGTCCAACTAGTAATATATATCAGACATGTCCATGTCGATAATATCAGCAGCGCAGTAGCGATATTTCTTTTTAAAATCACCACACATGAAAGATGTCTCAAAAAATGCTACTGCGGCACTGGCAGGGTCTTGTTTTTTTGTTAGATATTGTAAAACTGTATGAATTTGTGTCCAATTTGAAAATCTACAAATCAAACAGTCTAAATCGTGGTAAATTTCATGGATCCAATCTAATTGGGCTAATTTATGACAGTGACTGAAGCGATTTCCCAAGAATTTTTTGAAACTCATTCAGATAGCAGCAGATTTACAGCCAAGATGAACATATATAATATTTATGATAGATTGCTAATACATCGATAGACAGCTCTTGATGTTGTAGCTCTCTATGAAGTTGGCGATATTTGAATATTTGATTCAAGTTACTTACCTTTTTTTTTTTAATAATATTAATTGTCTTATTTTGTGTTCTCCTTTTTTTTTTTTTATTAACATTATTTTTGAAATAATAAAAACATCTTAAGAATAATATTTACTGATTTTTATCTTTTCTTTTGCAGTAAATTCAAGATGGAAAAGATGATGTAGACAATAAATTATATGTTTTCACTGATAAACTATTAATTTAAAAACCGATGAATATCCTTTCTCTTCTCATCTTCGTGTAAATCATAAGCATTGCTCTATGATGACATATGCAGTTGCAAACACTCATCATCAAAACCTATTAGTATATTTTTATGACAAGAAAATTGATTTGATACATCTTATGAATAAACTATTTACTGTGCAAAGATGTAATTTTTTCCAAAAGCTATTACAAACTGGAAAACGTACATTCTATATTATCTTGTTCATTTTTCACTAGTTTTTAATTATGCCATTAATTTAAGTGAATCATTCATGTAAAATATTCAAAAAATAGATAGTTATATATCAAAAGTATCAATTTAGTTTTTCATTTCCATACGAAATTTGATTTGTCTGAAAGAATTTTATTAGAAATAAAATTCTATAGAAGGACTATTTGTATGCTAACAAAACATTTTTATATTTGCATGAAGGTTGACTCAAATGAGAATGATTCAACAAACTAGTGAGATAAAAAATTTAATAATAGAATAATCAGAAGAAGAACAACAATGACTCACATTGTTAGAGAGAAGGAAAATCATTAAAATGTTATACTAGTTCACTTGTACTGAATACTCACTGATTCATGCACTCATCATACAGCTGCACTCGTAACACTTTCAAATATATATCAATTCAAAAGAAAATCAAAAATAACTTTAAACTTTTATTCGATTAACAAAAAAAAAATCTTCATGGAATAAGTCATTCAATTGAGTACAGTGTAAGCATAACAGAACGATTTGATGATATTCAACATCCAGTACACTGAGATTTTACATCCATCTACAAATCATATTCGTGTTAATGATCTTATTAAAATCTTGTATTATACGTTAACCAGTTATGTTTTGTCTCATTTTGAAACCAACATAAAAGTATATAGATTTTACAGATTCATTAACAATGTTTCCGTCTAAAATATGCTTTTTATCTTAGTGAAAAAATTCTTGAAATAATAATTATTTAGTTAAGATAAATGGTTTCTTAATACGTCTTTTTTTCTTTCATTTGAATTTGTGGACATGATCCATTTATCTCTGTCATTCTTTTTTGATAATAACATGAAGACAAATTTTTATCTGCCTTCTGTTATTGTTTTCTTTTCTCTTTTTTTTTTATTCAAAATAATGAGTTAACTAGAAGAATGCAATCATATTCTATTAGAATGCGAACCGATAAACAACTTATCATTCCTTATATATCCTATATTACGTTGGGTATTGTGGCACTTATTATTGTTTTAATGGTTTTATTCAAAATTGCTGCAAGAGATAATAGATTTTTATCAAATTCAGAATTGTATATTTATTCTCAACCTGATCTGAATCAACGTAAACATAATGCAAATAAAAAACAACGTAAAAATACTTTTCTGGCATCGAAAACGACTAGACAAACAAACACTAATCCATCATAGAATTAAATAAATTTTTCATCATATTATTCTTTTATTTAATTATTCAAGTATATAATATACTATTAACAGTCACAATGCATCTTATATTCTATTTCATTTAAAATTTAATGTTAAACTCTATATTTCTGAAGACTTTTTTTTTAAAATAAATTGTCAAATTAAAGAATCTCTTGTTCTGAGAAATTTCCTTTAGTTCTTCTTTGTTAGTTTTTTATTTCTTGTTGAATGAACTAGTACTATTTGTGTTTCGTTTCCTATGATTGATTTCTGCAGTAATTTGAAAATTCTGGTTAAACAAAACTTTATTCAATTGTGTACATTAAGACTCGTATCTAACTGTCAAATACCATTTGTCATTTTCTTTTGGTTTATGAGTAAGTATTAATAAGAAAAAGATGAATCTAAAAATAGTTTGAATGTTTAACTTTTATTTTTTACTATAAAAATTTTGAAATGTTTTTCCTTGAAATATTCTATTCTATGAATCTTTAAATTTTATTATATAACTCAAAATTCAATATATTTTACGTATTGCATACAAAATTTTTACGTTCAACTTCGAAATGATTGAACAATGCGAATTTTACACAACTTCTCAATTAATTTTCATCATATCCTATCGACATCTATTTTATTATTAAAAATTCATGAACGATTAAAGTATTTTATTGAAACGTCTAATAAGCATTTCAAAGACTAAAATTATTTTCAAAAGAATTCATTCTCAATCTTTTTAATTATATATAAATTGGTTATGAACCAAACGATGAACGATAACCTCCGCAATGTTGTTTATCAATTTAGGGCCGACAAGCAGTGACGTCGTGATTTGCCGGTGCCCCCTATCCCTCTATTGATTCAGTGGCTCCACTTCCTTAGCTATTTGATTTTATTCGAAATCCATAATAAACAAGAAAAAAACAAAAATTATAATAATGACAAGTGAAATACGTCGTTCAACACGATCTCGATCAAGTTTAAATGTTAAATTTGTTGATGATCCTGATTATGATGAACATACATTTGAAGACGATCAGGGCGACGACGACAACATTGACGAACTGCCGGTGGCGCGTGTTAAACAAGAGCATCAGCGACACACTAGTCAAAATAATAATACCAATAGTAGCATTATAAAAAGACGTCGTGGACGACCAGCTAAACGTGAATTAATCCATGATAATGATGAAGATTGGCATGTTGAAAACGAAGAAGATTTTTCAACAGTTACATTAAGTCCTCAAGTTAATTCATCTGTTTATGAATTTAGGTAAAGAATTTTTTTGTTTCTATTTTTATTATATATAATTTATACTGATTTCTTCGTTCTTATGATTGTCTAGTGAAAATTCAAATCGAAAAAGTTTTAGTTCAATAGGAAATAATATTTCACGTGATTCAACTAAAAATTCGATTAAAGTTCGTCGTGATGAAAAACATTTATGTCATTATTGGTAAAATAAATTCTATTTATACTACGTATAAATAAATATTTATTATTTATTAAGTAATTATTGTACGGGTAAAAAATATCTTTTACAACGTCATCTTAAATCTCATTCAACTGAACGACCACATAAATGTAATTTCGAAATTGAACAATAGATTAATTATAAATCATTTCTTTTAGGTACATACTGTTCAAATACATTTAAAACAACAGCACAATTACAAAATCATGTTAATACACATCTTGGTATTAAACCATTTCAAGTAAGAAAAAAAAGTTCCTTTGTTTTTTTGTTATTTCTTATTTTATTAATTTTTATATTTCTAGTGTAAATTTTGTGAATATAAATTTACAACAAGTGGAGAATTAATTCGTCATGTTCGTTATAAGTAAAATAAAGAGCATTTGAATATTATTAATATATATATATTATAGCGCTTAAAATTGATTACATATTTAAACGATCGCTTTTTTTTTCCAAATATCTCAAAATGGCTTCAACCAATAGAGTTGTAATTATTACTGAAATCGAGCACTATTTTCCTTTTTTATTTCACTTGAAATGCAAAATTAATTGTCAAAATCTTGGACAATCTGAAGAAAAATTTATGTAAAAAAAAAACAAAAAAACTTCTACTTTAATACGAAAGACACATTTGAAAAGAACAGAAGTTGTAAAAACTTTTTTTTCCTAATTAAAGTTAATCCAAAAAGTGTGTTTTCTGTCTTTTGAAATTCAAACTTTGCTCTTTCTATATGAAAAAAAGCTGAATTCTCTACGATATTTCTGAGTTAATTGAGATTTCGACAATTAACTTTGCGTCTTTTATTGCTCAAAACGTCAGCTTTCAATGTCAGACTAATACAAAAACAAAATTGCGTATTTCATTGTTTTGAATGAGATATCATATTTTAAGCAGATAAACTATGAATATAGAGCTACATTTTGTTGAAAATCACAACTCTATATATTGAAACTACCTTGACATATGAGAAAAATAAGATGATCGATTAAATGTGTGATCAATTTTAAATATTATTTTACATATATTTATATTTTTCTTTTCAAGACATACAATGGAAAAACCACATAAATGTGAAGAATGTGGTTATGCAACAGTTGAATTAAGTAAACTTCGTCGTCATATACGAACACATACAGGCGTAAAAATTTTCCGAATTTCTTTTCATTTATATTTTATTGAATTTTTTATTAGGAAAAACCATATTCATGTCCACATTGTTCGTATTGTAGTCCGGATACATTTAAACTTAAACGTCATTTGCGTGTTCATACAGGTATGAAAAAACAGAAAAAATTTTGATTTTTGTTTCATAATAATCTTTTTTTTTTTTTTTATTGCTATTTTAGGCGAACGACCCTATCAATGCACAGTAAGATGCTTTTGTTTTTGTTTATTTGATTTGAATTGCATAATAATTTTGTATTTGATAGGTTTGTAAATTTCGATTTACTCAAAGTAATAGTTTAAAAGCACATATGTTAACACATCAAGCAAATGCACAAAAATTTCATTGTACATATTGTCCAACAGTATTAACACGTAAAGCTGATCTTAAACAGCATATGATTAAGAAACATGCTAATAATGAAGATTTTGTAACATGTCTTAAATGTGATCAAGAATTTGCTGATCCGTATGTATTCATTCATTCATATTTTATTTAAAAAACAAACAATTATTTTATTGTTTTTGTTATATTGTTTTAGACATGAATTAAATCAACATAAAAAAATTCATCATGAAAATAATACTAATTTTAATGTACCTCGTATTCAGCTTACTTGTTCATTATGTACATATAAAACATTTTCACAACATATGCTTGATGATCATATGAATTCAGAACATCGAGGTGAGTAAAATTATTCAATTCTAAATATAAGTAGTATTTCGAAAGTATTTATCGTTGAAAAAGTAATATGGAAAATACAAAAAAAAAGAAGAAGAAGAGAAATGCTGAATATTTTTTCATGTTTTTCATCTAAATAAAACTAACGAATGATTAAAATCATTTTCCTAATCGTGTTTTTTTAAGTTTATGAAATACTATTCATCTAAAACAACTTTAAGACTTAGATATTTTATTAGAAAATATAAATTTCCAAAGTAATATTAGAGGACAAGTCATGAATGGCGGCTATTCATCTTAGATCACCAGTCCCATAACATGCTGATCACTTTATGATATACATCTACTTTGATCAATAATATGTGGTTAATTAATGTTTATCGAAAGCTCAAGTACAAGAAATCGGCGTTGGACTGGCTGTCTATCTAAACTTGTAGCTAGTATCACGGACTATGGAGTCTGCTGTTAGGCAACAATCGATACAGAGAGATACTAGTAATAATACATATAAAGTGAAGAATTTGGGTTCGAATACTTTCATATGATACAAACATGAATAATACTATCTTAGAAACATCTACTGTAATCATGCTTAAAAAGTCCGAAGATATTGGACCTAATGATCTATAGTCGTCAGAACAACGTGAAGGGATCATTATTGAGAGTATCAAAGTACAGTGCGAATAGGTTCAAAAATTTTGGACCTGGCTGACTCTAATACCACCTTTCTATTTCTAATAGTATACGTCCATGAAGATGTGTATTCTCTTTATTTTGTACACTTGAAAAGTTGACATTTTGATTGTCACATAAGTTATTTACCTACAACTATCAGAGAAAGCAAAGTTCGTTATAGAAAATATTAATTCACTACAATCATCAGACTTACAAACGAACGAAACTTTCAACGAAAAAAAAGCCCCTTGTGCTTTTAATAGACAAGTCATCGTGTTTGAGAGCAATAGGAATAACCTTATTAATTCATTATTAATATTGTTGTTATTGATCTACTATTCGTTATATTAAAAAAGAAAATTCAATTATTTATTCAATAAAATAAATTTTTGATTTTAGACTATCGAACATTTCAATGTAATGAATGTGGCTTAATGTATGCAACACGTGGTGATCTTCGACAACATATAACAAAAGTTCATCGTTGTGGTGTTTATGCAAAAATTCCTGCTGGTGGTTTATCAATTCGACCAAGAACATATTCATCATCATTAAAAAATTCTCAACGTTCATCATCAACATCATCATTAGCACCAATAAAACAGCAAGTACAACGGCGTGAAACAATTTATCGTTGTGGATTATGTTCAAATAAATTTCCACATATACGTGCCATTGAACGTCATCATTATGATGCACATCATATTGATCCATTTGATGTTGAAGCAATGAAAAATGCTACAATACAAGATGAAGAAGATATTGAAGATGAACAAGAACAAGAACAATCGATTACACATGTTCAATCAGAACAACAACAACAACAACAAGAAATATATAACAGAGATGAAGATGAACAAATGGCTATTATACAATTTCGTAGTCAACATCAAAATGCTGAACAATCACCATTAATTGTCAAAATTGAAAGAGGTATTTTGATTAGTTTTTTTTTTCATTGTAATGTATACAATTTTTTCTTGTGTTTTTCAACATAGATGGTTATGATAATTTTGAAACTGCTGATGATTTCCTATCAAATAAACCAATACCACGTACTCATCAATTACAAAATGCACGTCGAACATTATCAAAAAATTCTTTTGATAATTCATATTATCATGATTCATTAATAACAAAAAAAGAATTTTTACATAATTCAAATGATGATATGAAAGAACATTATGATGATTATATGGATATTGATCATAAATATGAAATGGGTGATATATTTGTCGAAAATATAGCTGATGATGATGATAATATGATTAATGACGATGGTGAAAATTTTATTTTTAAATATCGCTCATCAAGTCAAAAGTTGACTGTATTTTAAAAAATACTCACTGTTCTTCTCTCAATTTTTTTCTTTTATTATGATATGTGAAGGTGCTTTATACTACTTATGAAAAAAAATAAATTATTCTACTTTGTTGTTTTTTTTTCGTCTGTAAATTGTTCATGTTGTGGATAAAAATAATATTTGTGCACTGTTTTATGTATGAACTTAGTCTTGAAATGAATCTAACAACAAGAAAAATAAGCATACTTTAATGGTTTTAGTCGTCAAGTAAAAGAACAGAACGAACAAAAGAAAAATGCTTTGTCATTATTGCACTGCTTTAAGGGTATATATATTATGCGACTGTATATTATTTTCAGTATATTATTAATGGCCGATAATAAAACTCCTGCAACAAATGTAAAAGGCGAATTTGTGCGCGGCGGTTAGAATCTTATTTCTGGAATCCATTTTCTCTATCAATATTCTTGTTTTGTTATTCTAGTAACAAGTTTTCATAAGTCGATTAAAGATGACCCTTCAGCTGAACACCCAGCAGAAGCAAATCGATATCACTTGTATGTTGCATTAGCATGTCCTTGGGTAAATATGAATTTGTTTTTTTTTTTGTCGAAATATTTTTCTCTTGTCATAGGCTCATCGAACACTTACTTTACTAAAATTAAAAGGTCTTGATCATGTTATATCATATTCAATTGTTGATGGTTTTCTTGACATGGCAAAAGGTTGTGGTTGGGCATTCGGAGAAAACTATCCTGATCCACATCATCCAACATTTACTCACCTTAAAGATGTGTACAAGTTAAATGAACCGGACTACAGTGGACGTGTTACTGTGCCTGTTCTCTTCGATCTTAAAGTAAAGAGAAAAAAAAAACGACACGATTAACTAAAATTCTAAGTAGTTACAAATCATTTTAAGTACTGCAGATATATCTATATGTCCCGAAATTCAATAGAAGATTTTCTAACTGAAAAAATTTAATAATACATTTGTAGAATTGCCAAAAAAGGTCTATCGAAAATGAAATACCAAGGTAAATAGTGAATGCACAATATTTATAGAGTAATTTTCTCTTCTTCAAATACTGAATGAGTATCTCAATTCCTGTTCAAAACATAGATAACGATGTCTGTAAAAATCTTCCTGTGTGAAAAAAAAGAGCTCAATTAAATACTGACGTTTTATGTTGTGAATTATATGTCAAATACTAATATAAAAATATTTTTAACGTTTGTTAATATATAGAACATAACTTAATTTAAATTCTTTTCGAGTCAGAACGAAAAAAAATTTCTAAAAGTCTTTCAGTTAGAAGATATGTTTGAAATTAGAGATGTGTAGGGTAAAGGTAAGAATATTTTTTTCTATCTGGGTACAAGATACGAAAAAAGGTTACCTTGCACATCTCTATTGAATATCGCTCAATTCAATTGGAATTATTTAAAACAAAAATTATTGAAAAACATTTATGCCATGCATCTGTCTCATTATTTATAATTAGAATCTCCTTTATATTTAATGATTTAAGAACACTTTGATCCTAATACGAAACAATGAAAACAATAAGAATTCTTATAGATATTTGCTTTTGTTTTTTAGGCTCAAAAAATAGTTAATAATGAATCATCAGAAATTATTCGTATGCTCAATTGTGAATTTAATAAATTTGCTCGTCATCCAGATTTAGATCTTTATCCTGAATCACTTCGTTCACGTATTGATGAACTTAATGAACAAGTTTATCATAAATTAAATAATGGAGTATATCGAGCTGGTTTTGCTAAATCTCAAGAAGCATATAATATTGCATTTGAAGATGTTTTTTCAATGTTAGATATACTTGAAAATATTCTTTCCAAACAACGTTATCTTATCGATAATAATCAAATAACTGAAGCTGATGTACGTGCATGGACAACATTAATAAGATTTGATCCAGTATATTTTACACATTTTAAATGTAATAAAAGAATGATTTCGAAAGACTATCCAAATCTATATGGATTTGTGCGTGAAATATATCAAATGGACGGAATAAAACAAATAGTTGATTTAGATGAAATTAAAAAACATTATTATGCATCACATTTAATGATTAATCCAACAGGAATTATTCCACTTGGACCTGAAATTGATTATAATTTACCACACGACAGAGATCGATTTAAATGAAAAAAATTTGTTCTTTGAAATGAATGAAAAAACTACTAACAGTTCTTCTTTTTTTCATACTATTTTTCAATGATTAAACTTTATTCTAGAAAATCTTGTATAGCAAAGGTTTTACGTATTACAATTCGATTTTTTTCTTAGATATACTTTTGATTATGTCCACCATTCAATAAAACATTTTTTTAATTTCTTTTTCGTATAGTGTGAATATTATGTTATACTTAGTCATTAGGAAAAGTTTAGATTTATTTAATTAAAATTTTAGGACTAGTTAAATCTTCGACCTTGCTAACTTGTGGTATGATAATTCTTTGCAGCAAAAGAAAAAGGAAACAAAAAATCTTGTAAACTAATATAAAATTTTACAAGTATTGTTCGCTTTTCTCAACTTCATATAAAAATTCATCCCCTTGTATATATAATTTATTGCTTTTTCCACAACACTTCATTATTAACCTTGAATATATAAAAGAAACCAAAAGAAAATCACTTTTTCTTAAAGAATGATACAGCGTCTTTGACAACTATTAGTTTCTGTAATAAAAAGTCGTCATGTCAATATTCAATAACAATTAGAAAACAGTAAGCAATACTATAAATTGTAATATTATCTTTTATTATATTTTCAAATCATTTTAAATTCTCATGAAATTAATATTTTGCACAAAATATCGTGATAGTAGGAAAGATAATTTCAATTCAAAAATGATAGAAAAAATTTAAAAAAAAATACTATGTATGGGTAAACTGTAACTCATCATTTGGTTTTATACTCAGCTCACAGCGAAGCCTCAATAAGAATAGAAAAAGCTTAACAAGGTTTATATTGATGAATCTGAATTTTCGACTCATTTTTAAATGTTTGTTGGAGAGAAAAAAATAACAGAATTTCGATCTGCAATTTTGTCTATATATAGATCTAATGATCTTTAGAATATCCTGAATATTTTAGCCAAAGAGAATGTTCCTTTGCTCAGGTATCAAGTTTTTAAGTAAACTTGATTTTTGTGCCACATCTGTGGCAAGTAAGGATGCCAGTCGCGGCTGAAAATCTGCCGCTGCCACGCCGCCACTCTAGAAGGGACAAGACTACTGCGATGCAGTAAACCATAAAACAAGTTGTAACTGCTGGAGTGATTTTCTGGAAACTCTCCCCTCACTGTGCTACTTTAGCACAGTTAGATTGAACCCATTGTATTTACTAAGAATTTATCTGTTGTATTTGTAGCCACTCAAATAGGAATACAAATTCATTCAATTTAAAAATCCATTTAAAAATGAAGCTGCCGGAATAGTATTGTTGCAACTGCACTACTCATCCTTTGCAGCAGCGTAGCCATGAACATGTCTTGTAGCAAGCGACTGTTTGTTACATATTCAATATCTTGACAAACAAACATTCGTTTTGGCTGAAATTTTCAGAAGACCCTAAGCGTTATTAGACGAATCTATGCGTTGAATTTCAGTTCGAAGTTTAATTATTCGATTGTTTGGTAAATAGGTAAACATAAGTTGAAAAATCAGTAAAACAAGCACAACTCAGCTTCAGAGATTCGTGAGCACGAACTATCTTAGAGTCTTTTTAAATCTTACTGAGGCGTTTTTGTCGGTTCAACATGAGTTAAGGTAACGAATTACAGTTAGGATTGTTTCCTCATGAGAGAAATAGCGATCTTAGTAGATCTATATAGTAAATACACGAAACAATGCCATCAAGTTTTTAATACCATTATCTACCTTGAATACGATATGTTGAAAATTAGAAAGAAAAAACAATATTTTCAAAAAGAAATTTTATAATTCATTTTTTATACAAGGTCAAGGAGATAGTGACATTGAATAATAAAATACTTTTCAATAACTTATACATCTTTTTCGAAATTCTATTTTAATGAGTAACTCATAAAGAAGGAAAGGCTTTTGTTATTTCTTGTTACAGCATCGCAAAAAATCAGTTCTTACATGCTAATACAAAGAAAATTTTTCTTTAGAGAACTCTGTGAAGTTATTTTCTAGCCGCAGTTGTATGATGGCATGCAGAATATATAAAAGCATCGCATATAAATTGCGATGACAAGAACAAATGGTGTTTTTTTTTTGTATTCAATGTCGTTGATAACTTGATGGTATTTTCCTCTTTAAATATTCGTCATAAGAAGTTTATATAAAAATCACATCAACTAGATTTTGAATAAATCTTAATATTATGTTGTTTAGAATTTCATATTCATAAATGATATAGTCATTCATTTAATTCATTTATTTAAACATAACATATTGCTGAATGAATTCACTCTAAGTTCAATATATAAAAGAATGTTTTTCTGAAAAATCAAATGCATTTTGAAACAATCAATCAACTTGCACATGGAGAAGCTTTTAAGCTCTCTCTGTGTCATGTGTATATAAGCTGTCTAATAGATTTGATGATCATATTCGTGTTGAAAAGATAATAAATGTTAGTTTATCTTTCCATCAGTCCTTATTGTATACTATGTCTATATGTAGATGCGTGAAACAATTGGCTAAGCTGCCACCACAATTGACCGTAATAATATTTTTCAAATAACTCCATCGTCTCCGTCACATGAAAATAGATCGTAAACTTTTCAAAATACTCGGCGTTCAGGATCAGTTTTTCAGAATTATTCTTGTCTAGTTTCTTATCAATACATTCCTCATTATCATTTCCTCTGCTTTTTTTTTATTTCAACATTTCACAAAAATAAAAACGATTTCTACAGAAAAGCATCAAAAACTTCTAGCGGACTTCACTGACAAAAGAAAAAGTTTAAAATAGATTCAATTGCCGCTGGAATCAATTAATACACGGACTGACACCTCTCTCTATATATATGCAACTCATATTATATGATTATCTGGTATATTTAAGTTTTGTAGAGCAGAAAATCCTCCAACTTGACTGAATTGAAAGTTCGAGGAAAAAAATAGTTAGTCATTCATTATAAACAATCTTTTTTTGGAACAACTCACTTAGACCACTCAATTTCATGCGTTACATTTTCTCTCGGACATGATTGATTACTCTAGGGTTTATATGAAATAAAAGAAAAAAAAAAAAGAAAGTCATTTTTTTCATTCTTTTTTTCCCTATTGTTCTTATACATTAACATTTATTTGAAAATCTTATTCGTTGCAGCTGCTACTCTTTTATACTTTCATCGTCAATTCTGGTTTTGTTGCTCACTAATGTAATGGCAACATCGATGAATAAAAATATGCAAGAAACAAAATCTACGGTTGGCTTACTATTAATAATTGGAGAGATTATTTCCAATGATCAACGTGATGAAATATGCATTGATCTTAAACAAGCATTAAAAAAAGTTGATAATAAGACATATCATGAAATAATTGATCTTTTTAATAATTTAATTCATGAAAATGAATTTCAAATAGGTTTGTCTAAATTGGCTTTTTTTTGTTTTATTTAAAACTTTTGTTTAAAATAGATTGTCAATATCGACAAATAGCTGATACTGAAAATGGTTCAGTTGCAGGATTTGTTTATTTACCAAATCATCATGCATTATTCAATGTATTCAAAGATTTATTTAATACTTGCTATCATGTTTGTATTATCTATTGTGGTAAGATATGTTTTTTTTTCAAATTTCTTTGATAAAGAATGGTTTGTTTTTCTTCATGGCGTTATAGGTCAACAAATTGATTCTAATGGTGCTCTGATTTTATCTGATTCACTATTTACATGTGATCATTTTTATAGTTTATTCGAAGATAACTCTTCTTATCTTGTTCAAGATCTTCAAATAATTTTACCATTTGTTTCAAATCAATGGATAAAATTATCAAATAATTATTTAGAAAAAAAATTAAAATTTGTTCAAATTGATGATTTATCTGGTAACATCAATCAAGAGAATTCATTTGGACAAGTATTTTATGAAAGATTGATTCAAACTTTAACTAAAGATTCAACTAATTTTGATATTTATACAAAATTAATACCAAGAGATAATTCAGGAACAAGTATGAAAGGAAAATAACGAGCGATTGAAAAATATTTAGACCAAATGTTTGTTTTAATTTTGGTCCGCTACAAAGTATTTTTGACTAGTCAAGACGTATGAGTTAGCACTAGAACTTTATATGCTTAAAAATTTTGTCTTAGTTTTTGTTCGAGAGGAGAAAAATCATCTTTGAAAAATCTAAAACATTAGTTTGAACGGAACTTGTTGGGCAATGTTTCCGGTAAAGATGTTTGTTCATTCTGACTTGCTGGAAAGCATTTTAGACGAGTTAAAAACTAAAGATCGCAACCAAAATCTGAATATGAGCTCTGAAAAGTCGTGTCTATGTTTGTTCCAGAGTAGTGAAGAACTTTTCAAAACACCTAAAAAAAATATTTTTTTTATGACAACGTAATTATTTTTGTTTATCCTAGAAGTCATATTTTGAACCTGTACAAATTTGTTGGAGTCGGCCGTCTTTTTAGAACGGACAATTCTCTACAAAACATGATATTGAACTAAGCTGTAACTTTTGTCCAAGTGAAAAGCTCCTTTGGAAGTGAAAGCTAGAACTCACATACTCCATATAAGCTAGATGATAATTTAGTATAAATTTTTTTATGTAATAAAATATACTTTGAAACTTAAAACAAGTTTTTCAACCATTTTTGATACGGTTATACAATTATGAACACTTTAATGTATAAAACTAAATACAACTTTGATTATATCACGATAATTCATTTTCATCAAAGAGCAACACTATTGTTTGTCTGATATGATAAAAAAAGAAAAATATATGACAAGTTCGATTTGACCTGCTCAGACCGGTACTCATTGCGGTCGTGAAAAATCCAGACTTATTTCATCTATGTTTTTAATCTTGGTTGCTGCTAAGGCTTCCATTGGCAAGGAAACGCGAAGAGAAGTCGCAAAACTTCGACTTTAACCTTGCACTCCCTATTTTCTTCGAAAATACATGTAAGTTTTACAAAAACTTCAAATAGTGTATTTTGTAGGATAGCTTATGATCTACAAGCTGATATATAAATGAAAATTACAAGTTTTAACTTCGAATTGCAATAGTCAAACAAAAATGTGCGGAAAAATTTTGAATTGAAATAAACTGTGTTGTTTTAACAACCTACTTCAGTACTCTCGAACGAAATTTCTAAGCCCATATTCGAAAAGAGCGCTATGTTATCGAGAATCATTTTTAGAAGGACAAAAGTCGAAAAACATCTTGTCTGAAAAAAAAAGCTTTCCAATCCTCAGTTAACAATTAAATAAATTAAAACCATTATTTTCTTTTAGTTGCTTTTGAAGAACCAAATCTTTATGTATTATATGGACAACAAGGTGAAGCATCTTTATTTGGTGTTCGAGGATTTGTTGTATTAGTTAATGGTGGATTTAGGTAAAATATCTTTCAGAGAAATAATCATATTATTTTTGTTTTTTGGAATATTGTTCTATTTTCTTCCAGTCGAATTCCTTCTTATTGGAATTTAATTCGAGGTTTACAAAATATTGATGCATGTATTTTAACACATTTTGATTATGATGTATTTCCTGGTTTACAAACAATTTTACATCGTAAAGCAATTTCATCACAACATGATAATCAATTATGTAAACCAGATATTGGTGCTATTTTTCTTAATCATATACAACGAACAAAAATACAATCAGTACAACATTCGTTAAAATCATTATCAAATAGCAAATTATTAATTAATTTAAATGAAAATATTGATGAATTTTTAAATGATATTAAACAATTAAATATCGATGCAATTGATTTAGTTAAAAATTCCATGCTTCATAAACAAAATATCGAACCAATAAATCTTTTTAAAAAAATTGCATTCGGTTCACTTGATCTTTATATATTACATCCAACGTCATCCATATCTGAAGATGAAAAAATTCTTGCAAATTTACAAAAAGTAAACAGAAACAAAAAAAAACATTTCCATACTAAAATTAAACAAAAAATACAAATAATCAAAATAATTTACAATTTCTTTAGATTCCAATACGTGATCAACAACCATCACCTTCAATAATTCCATTTCATCATTGGTATTCATCATGTTTATTGCTTGTTTGGACACCAAGTTCTCTATCGAGCAAGAATAATTCAGTACGAATTTTATATACAGGTGCTTGTCCACAAACACTTGTCTTTGAAGCATTGAATAAAGTTAGACATCTTGAATTTTTACATGAACCACAACAACAACAACGACAACAACAGCAAAGAACTCACACGAGCAATATTAAAACAACATTATCTACTAATACAAATACAGGTGTTAAACATTCATCACACAAACCTAAGATTTCTCCTCCAGTAACAGATCGAGTAACATCATCAACAGTTCAAAGTAAAACACCAAAAGTTTCACCACGTCCTATTTCTTCTAAGCCGAAAGTTTCACAAAGTAGAACAATAAAAACTGAAAAACCTCGATCAACACCAATTCCAAGAAAGGTAATCAATATTGTAAATAATGTGTCTCTCAGATTTTGATCAATATTTTCGTCAATGTCCATTATTACTTAGACTTGAAGTTTTTATCAAATGACTTCACGTTCAAGTCTCTACAAAAAAGCGTATAAAACACTTCACTATAAAATTTAACAGTCAAACTTTCTTCACTGAAGACTGTACCTTATACACACATAATATATGTCGTTATATTATTTTGACGTTTTTCATAGTCTTAGCTGTTGGACGTGTATAATACAAATGAAACTAATCGCACATTCAAAAGTGTTTTAAACAGCTCTTTCTAAATTTTAAATCGAATTTCATCTGTACACTATAATTGACGTGCAATCAAACATTTTCTTATACAGATATTTCGAAAATTTCGGTTAAAAAATTCCTATATCGATGTTCTATACTAACTTTTTGCATTCGCATATTGTCATTGTTTTCAAAACAAATGATTTCTTTGCTAAATCTACGCAATGATCTTGTACGATATTTTATCTTCGTGACAAAAGTATCAGATGAGAAGATGAATTTCAGTCATTTGACGCTGTTCTCTATGCCTATACTTGAAAACTGAGACGATCATGACTAGACACATATCTAGTTCTACAGAAAATAAAACTAGGTGTTGACAGAAAGTACTAGTATAAAATCCGTCACTTCGGCATTGTGCGCTCTGTAACGCAGAACGCTTATGCAAGTCACAGTAATGTACATTGACGAAAATATTGGAAAAATACTAAGAAGTCAATTTTTTTTTGAGACAATCATTATTTTATGGAAAAATATCATTATCTTCTATGAATAGATGCCTCCTCTGAAAACGAATAGTCCTGCTCGATCAAATAATAAAGATAAAGAGGCACAAAAACCTCGTGGAACTACCGCTAAAAGCTCTACTAAACATAACCAAATGAAAAATCATGTGCAAAAGCCGAAAACTCAAGATGACCAGAAGCAAAAATTAGATGTTCCAAATAAAGAACAACAAAAACTAGACATTCCAAATGAAGAACAACAAAAATTAGATGTTCCAAATGAAGAACAACAAAAACTAGACATTCCAAATGAAGAACAACAAAAATTAGATGTTCCAACTGAAGAACAACAAAACCTAGACATTTCAAATGAAGAACAACAAAAACTAGACATTACAAATGAAGATCATCAGGAAATAGACGCTAACAATGAACATGAACAAAAATTAGAAATACAGAATGAGGAAACTGAACAATCGAGCGAAATTCAACTTGATCTTTCTTTTCAAAATGATAGCGAAGAACAATCACAAGAGAAGAATAAACATGATATATCACCTGATGAATTGAATGAAAACAATGAAACAGCAATAGACAATCATGAAGATGAAATTCAACGACCAGAATCAGTTCCATTAGCAATTGATCATAATGAACCATTTGTTGAAAGTCATACTGACTCACCAAAAGATGAAATGCAACCTGAATCAGGTCCGGATGATCCGATGACAACAAGTTTTATTGATGAAAGTTCTAATACGAAAAATCCATTGATTATTAAAAAAACTAATGATGATAATAATATCGATGATGAAATGGAAATCATTCATCGTGATATATCACCAACAAATCAACATTCCGTACCGTCTATTGATGAAATTAATCCACAAGGTTTACCAATTGAAAATGATGTTCGTTCAATAAAACCAACAATTAAAAAGCTAAGCAATGCATCAAATCGGTAAAATTTTTCAAAGACAAAAAAATCCTGTTCTTTTATTCAAATATTCTATTTAGAACAAATGAACCAACTAAATCAACAAATAATATTAATCAAACATCATCACAAAAATCCAAACAAACATCATCGTCAAATTCAATTTTCAATGTTGACGTTGCATATATTCCATTTCATGGTAATGAACATTATGTTGATGAAGAATTCTTTCGTCGTGTACGTGCTCGTTATTATATTTTAAATGCTGTACAAATAAGTCGTCTTACACTTGAGTCATTAATTGAGGGAAAACAACAATGGGAAAATAAAGAACATGCACCAGTAAATATATTATTGTTTTTTTTTTCTGTGTTTTGGAAAATATAATGTCACAATATTTCATTAAGGTTACTCTTGTACCAACATTTGATGGTGAACAATTACGACAATTTTTTGTTACGAATAGAAATCGTTTAGCAGAACTTAATATAAATATTCTGCCAGCATCAATTCGTTGTAATGTGCAATATGATAATGAAGGTTCACCATCACAACTTTTACGTTTTAGTTCAATATACAATACAGATGAACAATAATTATTTCTGTTTTGTTTTGGAACATTTGTACTTTAATCGCTTTGTCCTTACCTTCACATCTTGCTGTGTATGTACAACACACAAATCATTGTGAAAATGTGATTAAAGTGAAGATGGATCCTTTTTCTTGTTCTTCTTCTTATAAACGAACTGCCTGTGGACTTTGTGTTTTTTTTCATTTTGCCTATTTGCTATTGATAGGAACAATTATTTACAGAAACAGAACAGTTACAGTTTTTATGCATTAAGCGCAACTGTTTTCTTTTTATCATTTTATTGGCATTTTTGACTTTTTCTCCACTTTGCATGCAGAAAATTTATGAATAATAAAAGGTTGGATTTCTTTTTTTGTTGAAAAAAACGTAAGTGTGTTTATTGATTATGTATTATACTGAGTAGGTTAAAATTAGAGATGGATTTAGTGAAAGAATACAGGTGAATGTACTGGACGTCATCTATATTTTCTCTGTCCTCTTGTTGTTTATACCAGAGATGGAATGGATTCAAATTTTTCAATATTTAAACCGAAATCGAAGTTGGTTTGAGATATTGAGAACCAAACCGAGACCAAAATTGATTTGAAAAGTGACGAGATTAATCAATTCCATCTCTGGCATGTAAATTTATTGGCGTTTGTAATTGCTTAGTCTTCTATATATACTATTTGTCGCATTCATTTTATGTTGATCGTTACTAATTGTTTTCTTGTTCGTGACAACAATTCTTGCATGATTATAGTAAACTCGTCATTATACATTTATCTTCGACACTCATACTGATCTCATTAAGTCTTTTTTGCATTTTACACATCTGCATTTCATTATAAACATCTTGATTTCTATCTTCAATCAACTACTTCTTGGTCTATTCACATTACTCCTACTGTGTTTCTCTTCATTTGTTAATTATCATCTTTTCTTCTTATTCATCACTAAAGCCTTATCTTCTAAAAAAAGACAGTCGATTTTCGTCAAAAAAAAATCAAAATTGAGATAAGTGCATGAAAAGGTAGCCCGAGGCTTAATCTTTCATAAGTGAAATGTTTTTTTTTAAATTTTGGACCACCTTTTTTGCTAATATTTTTGATAATTCCTATCATTATCTTCTTGAAAAATATACCGTTTTCAGAAAAAACGGAAAGTATATGTCGTTTTTTCTCTGCTTATACTTTTTTAATAGTGCATCTCAAAATTCTCGAAGAAGCCTCATTATAGTCAATTGCTATTTTTGTGCTTTGAAAGAATATGTGAAGCTGCAGTGCCTGGCAGGATTTGTTTTTGGAATTGGGTGTTTTTCCTGTTCTATAAAAAGTCACGTCGATAAATAGATGACCATTTTTTGAGAGTTTTTTTAGGTATTGAACTTTTTATCCTTTTTCGTCGTATAAAAAGTTTAAATTTAAAAAAAAGACATTGCACTTTGACATACTCTTTCCAATAGTCAAAGGATTAAATCTACAGAATGAGGACTTGCAAAGAATTTTCATTTACTAAATAAACTATTGTTGACTTTTGTTTGTTGACTATCCTTCAAAAATATCATCATATTGGAGAGAAAATCTTAGCAAGTTCTATTCACTGAATCCTCAACATATTCTTAAAATCTCATGTGATTTGAATGCACTTAGTCCAAGATTGATTGTTGAGGTGACCTGAAATCCATTTAATCAAATACATCAGTCGCTCTTCATTCACTTTCAAATTAATTTATGATCATTTTATAACGTGTCACAGCATGGTGCTACGTGGAACAACATTCAGTTGCATCTTAGAGAACCATTGGAAACGATCGTCTCTTCGTTTCGAAATATTTTTCTATTTGTCTCAAAAGACAACGCCAAAAAATGAACTAACACAGCCTTTAATGGATCTCAAAACACGTTTTGTAACCTTGATTGTTTCTTTTAATTTAAATTCAAAATCGACTGCTCTTGAGTTAAATACAATTTTTTTTTCGTCCTCTTCTGTATCTAGGCAGAACGCACAAAGTTTATTTCGTCATCATATTCAGCGCAGTATTATAGAAAGAAAGAAACAGAATGTCAATTATGTTCGCCTCCAATTTCAAAACAATTTTGTCACTGATAAGTTTTATAATGACTTTATTACAACACAATCGACTTCGTTTTTTTATTTTGGGTATTATATTTATTTTTATGATCAAATTTAATTTTATGCATCATAAAGTACAAAATAAAAATATTTTCAAAGGAACTAAAAATTCATGTAATCTATCAATGATTGAAAGTGATCAATTGATATGTGAATCAGATGAAATATGGCAAAAAAGACGTGCATTTTATTCAGAACAACATGATAGAAATATTTTAACAATGAATGATTATGAAAATTATTTTTATAAAAATTGGTTTCCAGAATTTCAATGTCCAAATGAGACACGTCTTGGTGAGGGTGATGGAGGCAAATGGGTAAGATTTTACTTGACTTTGTTAATTTAGCTATGAGTTAACTTTGAAAATATACGAAAAACTCCTGACGAATGCTGCTTCCATTAATCGACGATGTTTACAAAAGGAGTCAAGGTTCTAAATTTCTTTTGACTTTATCCTATAATGTAAAGTATATAGTGTAAAAATTAGCCTCTTCTAATAGATAAAATGATGACATAAATTTTTAGGCTTTTCCCCTCAATATTATAGAGAAGAACTTGCATAAAGTATTTTAAATCTTAGGCAAACATTGTAAAATTGCTTTTGTCTTATACAAAGGACTACTCTTAATTAAAATGCAAAGTTAGACAATGTTCAAAAATTTAATACATTTTGTTTTATATCAGTTTTCAAAATGGTTAAAGTAATTTGTGACCAAAATAACAACCTTTTCATTCCTTTGTGAATTCTAAGGTGTAAAATATAATATGTTTTTAGTAGATGATTCGTTTTAATGTTAAGTTTGATATGAAAATTATATATTTGATTAAACACCGTGTATAACTATTAAATAGAACATTCACCTATAGAAACATTCGAAGAAATATGTGGTAAAACAAATACAATGACTATTCGAGATATAGTTTTTGGAAAACTTAAAGAAAAGTCTGCCCCATTCAATACAAGTGTATAAAACTGAGTTCTCTAAAAAAAGAGTATTTATTATTCTTCATCACATGAATATGTCTTTTATTTCAGGCATGTGATATAGAATATTTGAAATCAAAGTCACCGTGTCTTATATATTCATTGGGTTCTGATGGAGATTTTCAATTTGAAGAAACCGTACATAAACGTTTACCCCATTGTTCTATTCATACGATTGATATGAGATATTTTGAATGTCCAAAGAATGTTTGTAAATTTCATCAAATAAAATTAGGTGATGGTCAAAATAAAACAACAACATTACGTCAACTTATGACTGAACTCAATCAAACAAATTTTGAAATAGATATTCTTAAAGTTGATATTGAATATGGTGAATATATATTATTTCATAAGTTTTTTTCGAATAATATTCTTAATCAATCTTTTAAACCTGTTTATATTCGACAAATTCTTATTGTAAGAAAAAAACACTATAACACCTTTTAATTTCATACTGTTTTATGTTTTCAGGAGGTTCATCTTGATCGTGACCGAATAATTGAAACGAATGCTTTATTTTATTTATTCAATTCTCAAAATTATGTTATTTATCATCGAGAACTTAATCCAGGTTTTCCATATTATGCTTGTGAATATGGTCTTCTTAAATTAAATAGGAAATTTTTTCGAGGACATTTTTAATAATTGTTTTTAATGTATGTTCTCTTGTTTGAATCATATTACATAAAATAATTCTTGCTCAGGCTTCATGATAAGACTAGGGGGATGACAAGATTGACTTTCATGAAAATGTCGAACTTTCTGCCAACATTTTTAACAATGTTTGCAAGAGTTTTTGTAATCTGATGAGAAAAACTAACAGAAAGCAGGTTTGAGGACTCTTATCTTTATCTCTAACAGAAAGTGATATCACGATATTTTCGGTCAAAAAAAAAGCCCACACACAGTTTACAATTGTATTATACCTTGTTATCTATTGGCTAAAAAATCAAATAAAAGAACTTTTCGAAAAAATGCTTGGACTATTCACTGAATTTTTAGTCTATCCCAGGTTGTCGATTGTTTTTAGGAGTGGGGGGAGAGGGGAGACTAAAATTTTGGCAGACAATGTTCTCATTTTTCTGGCGTGAAAACTGTTGACCGGGGGGGGGAAGAAACGACACCAGTTTTCACTAGGTCGTACCGTACCCCCATCGGGCTTCCATACAATCGGTCATTTCTCCCAGTAACCGTAAAAAATTTGCAGACAGTATTAAAAATTTTCGCAGACAGACAGACAATTTTGGGAGGATAGCCCCCATCCCTCCTAATCGGAAAGCCTGGTCTACCCTCTCGGATGTAAAATAGCTGAGATCTCTACTTGTGTTTCAAAACTTCATCATGATAAAATTCAATTTTACATCAAACAAAAAATGTTCTTGCTACAAAATAAGTGCAATAGGTTAAAACAAAATTAGCTTATGCAATAATAGATATGATTAAAATGAAAAAAAAATACTTTAACAATGATTATGATATATTAGATAAGAAACTAATGCTTGGTCACAATAGACGACAAAAAGAACAGCGTTATACACTTAAGATAAGAAAGGTTAGTATGATAAATATTTTAAAAGTCTAGTGAGCATATTTGTTTTTTATTGCACTTAAAAAAGACAAACAGTAAAAACCAGTGAACTTTGACAAAAATTTCAACAACATAAAACTTATGATTATTTCTTTGCAGAGAATTATATTCGATAAAGATGAATCCGAAACAAACTTTTATCTTCATAATCACTTTTTTTATCATCAATATTCAAGATTTATTTATTCCCGACTTTATAAAGAAGTTTACGAATTTGATTTTGTTCATTGAAAATTTTCATGCTTAACGCTATCGTTTCTTTGTTGGTTTGTTTTTCAATAATCACATAATTTGGTAACCTGTTCTTTTCTTTCATGTCAAGTTTAGATGCAAGAAATATATGAAAAAACGTTATTTTTTTCTTGTTGTTCTTTTATTAGACAAGTAATAATAAACATGAATGTCAGGTATAGCGAGACATGTATTTTGTACTTTATTTCTTTATTTATATTTTCATGTATATGCATTATTGTTGCATCAGAAGAAAAACCTACCGTTTATAAGCGTTTTATTTTTGCAACAAAACAATAAAAAGCAAAAGGAAAAAAATTATTATAATAATCATAGTTATAGAAACAAAGAAAGGAAAAGAAAAATGAAACGACAATCATCATAATGATCACCTAACTAACTTTTGAAAATGTCGCATACATTTATATATATATATATATATAAATTTCGATCCGTTATGAGAGATGCATAAGAGTCCGCATGATAGGTGGTACTTGGCATATATCTATTTTTTCATTAATATCTTGATGAATATCACGAAAAAGTGCTTGAATTAACATACATTTATTGATTAATGTTGTAAAAGTTCGAATAGTTTGTATTGATCCATAATGTTGCTCCAAAAATATCCATAATTGTTCAACATAAATATTTTGTGCATGCAATACTTGTTGATAATTATTTAATGATGGCTCTTGACAATTTATGAAATGAGAAAGACCTTTTGAAAAAAGTAATATAACAAGTGTTAATTGCATGATTCGTCTATCCATTTCAACAATTGAATGTAATGAACGCATGATTAAAGTACAACGTACATATATATCATGCCCATGTGCTTCACGAATATCACTACCATATAGAGGAGTATCATTTGAAGGAATTCCTTCATGATATATATCATTAATTGGATCATATCTAATAATATAAATAAAGAGAATTAGAAATATTTATCAGTATGTCTTACCCAAGAGAACTATGGAAGAAGAAAATAAAATGTAAATTACTTTTTACAAGATTTACTTTATCAATTTCATTTAAAGCATCAAATTCTGATAATCTTTTATAAAAACTAATAAGACGTAATGCTGTAGTATTTTTTGTATTAAGTATCTGATATAAAGCAGTAATTTTTTTTGCTAACGGATATGACCAACCATAACTAGTGGGATTTAATTTAAATCCATCATGAAAAGCTGTAACAACATTTTCAATAAAATCAATATTTCCTCTAAATGATGTTGATCTTGATGAATAGATATAATTTCTATTAAGTACAACATTTTGTAAATCTAAATCATATTTTTCAGTTGAATTTATTGTTTCGTTAAAATTATCTTTTAATAGTAACGATTCATTCGTATGAGCTGAACGAAGTCGTCTATTTTCTTCAATACGACGTTTTTTATTAAGTTTTTCTTCTTCAGTTAATATCCATTCCTTACGCATACCTATTTAAAAAATATATTTATTGATAAATAAATATACAAAGAAAAATATCATACCAACGGCAAAACACTTTCGTAATCGACATGATTTACAACGGCGTCGCGTTTCTAATGTTATTTCACAAGCACCATCACGACGACACTTTAATCGATCCTTAATAATATAAATATTTATAAGAATTGAATTCACTTTTTTTTATTCATTCTATTTACTGTATTAAGAAGAGCATTTCGTCGAAAGAATGCTTTACAAGATTCACAGGAAATTGCATCAAAATTATATCCATGTGCTGAACCATGACAAACTATATTTAAAAAAAATAAAAATAACTAATTTATGATAAAACCAAAAACTAATTGTCTGTTTTTAAGAAGAAACATAAGTTTTTTTTTTGCTTTTTTGATTTGGAAGGTTATTTTAATGTTATCCTTTCTTTTAACAACGTATATTAATTGACATGCCATAAAAGTGAACGGAAAAAAACTTTTTTTTTTTCCTTTAAGGACATTTCTCATTAAAAATATCGTGGCTATGATTATTTGATGTATTTGAATAATTATCTACTGATATTCGTTTTTCATTATCGAAATTAATTTGAATATTTATAAAACAAAATACTAATATGAATTTAAAGCAAAAACATAAAGAATAATTAGATAAAGCATTGAGAATATGATTTCTTTTTAAGAAATAATATTAGACTATTAATAGCAATAACTTGATAGACATATTTGTATGTTTGAATAATAAAAGATAAGATTTTTTTGTGTTTTTGTTGTTTTTTTTTGTTTGATCTCAAAAAAAAATTAAAATATTGAAAATGCATGAAAATAATTTACCGACACAAGAAAGATCAGATTTTTTCCGTGATTGACTAATTGCACTTCTTGTTTCAAAAGACATTGAAGAGTCTGTCGACGTATTGGTTGCATACATCTCTTGTGAAGCACGAAGCCGTCGTTTTCGATTGTGATGTACCCCTGATGACGACTATTCTCATATAAACAAAAAACAATCGATTAGATTACACATTAATATCTATTTATTACAAGAAGCTTGTAATTAATTCTCATAGCAATATTCTACTTTGAATAGAAACTACATAGCATATGTGAAAACAAAAGTGGTAGATTTTAGGAAGAATCTTGCTCAATATTTAGTATAATTTGCAACAGTCAAATAAAAGTTCCTTTTTAGATATTTTAACTATAGATAAGTGATTCTTTTTTTTTTCTTTTCAAGGTTATTTATAACATTTGTGATGACAAGTTGGAAATAAAAGACAACTTAAGGAGACTATTTTTGTCCAGTTAATGCAGTATCTTTCGCATACGTCTATTGCTTATTACGTAATAATATTCTTTTAACATGGTTATTGTTCAGATTTAGAGTTGATCGACAGCTAATAATAGACTGTTAATTTTTTTTATCGATCCTTATACACCATCTTCATGATTAATTACATTTTAAAAATGATCTACTTTACATTTCATTGTATATAAGTAGGTCTCTATAAAGATATAGCTATGTAACAAACGAAAAACTGTCGCCTGATTTGATATGTAATTTTGTTTTCAATAAAAATGTTCACGCCTACATAAGAACATAAGTAAACAAGAGAAATGTTATTATAAGTGCATATCAAATGAATTGTACAATGTGATCATTTAGATGAAAGAAGAAAAAACGGTGGGTGTCTACTGATCATGCTTTTCTGTTAAAGTAAAATGATGATCTTTGTAAAAAAAAAAAAAAACCTTAAAAATTTTTTATACAAGATAATAATTTAAAAAGAACCTATTTCAATAAATCAACATATGACAGTTAGTCTTTTTCGTTTCAATTTTTCTTATTCTCAATTATTCTTACTTACGTTCCCTTCTTTATTCGCCATCGTGAAAGGTTGATGTTGTTTCTATGTGTATGTGTGTGTGTGCATTCGCACGCATACAAGGCTACCTCCTGTGTTAGATGTACGAAGAGAGCACAAATAGAGACGACGAAAAAGAAGAAAGAAAAAGAAAGGAAGAAAAAAACAAAACCGGTTACCGAACGACATCAAGAATAACAACTAAGGAGAAAAGAGCTGTAATCAGAGAACATTGACAAGGAACCGTAAGGTCACTGGGTGCTGAGAAAAATTAGCTTTAAATTTTCCTTTCGTTTTTGAAATTTTGCAATGGATTCAAATAATTTAACATTTTAACACACTATATGATTTACTTTTTTTTTGTTTCTTCTTGTTGTTCCATAGTATATACTACAGCAAAGAAAAGTATATTTTTCAAAAGGGCATAGGTACTTTCGCAAGCGTACTTTATGTACTAACGACGAATCATAAATTTGCAGATTCTATATGTAATCTTATCAAAAA